AAGTTTAATTTTGGACCATTTTGACCTCAATATGAACCATTTTGATAGCGGGTCCACAAATAAAAAATCTAAATACATGGTTAGATTCAGCATATCAAAGAACCCCAAGAATTCAATTTTTGATGAAATCAAACAAAGTTTAATTTTGGACCCTTTTGACCTCAATGTGGACAAAGTTGATAACGGGGCCCAAAAATCAAAAATCTAAATACATGGTTAGATTCAGCATATCAAAGAACCCCATATATTCAATTTTTGTTGAAATCAAACAAAGTTTAATTTTGGACCCCGATTTGGACCAATTTGAAAACTGGGCCCATAATCAAAAATCTAAATACATGTTTAGATTCAGCATATCAAAGTACCCTAAAAATTCAATTTTTGTTAAAATCAAACTAAGTTTAATTTTGGACCCTTTTGACCTTAATGTAGACCAATTTGAAAACGGAACCAAAAATTAAGAATCTAAATACACGGTTAGATTCGGCATATCAAAGAACCCCAATAATTCAATTTTTGATGAAATCAAACAAAGTTAAATTTTGGACCCTTTGGACATCAATGTGGACCAATTTAAAAACGGGGCCCAAAATCCAAAAACTTAATACACGGTTAGATTCAGCATATTAAAGAACCCCAAGAATTCAAGAATAAAACCCCATTGAAATTGATCAAGAAATAAGCAATTTATACGAAGTATCTTCTTTTGCACAATACTGTGCAATTGAATATTTCTTGCTATTGTGCAATACTGTACAATTGACAATTTCTTGCTATTGCGCAATATTGTGCTATTGGATATTTCTTGCTATTGCGCAATACTGTGCAATTGAAGATTTCTTGCTATTGCGCAATACTGTGCAATTGAAGATTTCTTGCAATTGTGCAATACTGTGCAATTGAAAATTTCTTGCTATTGCACAATACTTATTATATAATAATTTACACATCCTGTTTGGTGTGTATCTCCTACCATATCATTATTATTTGCTTTTAAATATTAATCAGAAATAACCAACTTAAAATGGAAAATTTTAAAAGAAAAAAAAAAGGAAAAAAAGAAAAAAAAAAAAAAAAAAAAAATCCCCCCCCCCCCCCAAATTTTTTGAACCCCCTTATGATTCATCACCCCCAAACTCAATCCCAGCCTTCCCTTTGTGGTATGGTACCTTGCAGTACAATTTCAGAGAGATCCATACACTTGAACACAAGTTATTGTCTGGAAACTAGAAAAATGCTTATTTTTGGCCCCTTTTTGGCCCCCAATTCCTAAACGTTTCGGGCAATTACCCCCAAACTCAATTCCAGCTTTCCCTTTGTGATACGGAACCTTGTAGTACAATTTCAGAAATATCCAAACACTTACACACAAGTTATTGTCATGAAACTAGAAAAATGCTTGTTTTTGCCCCTTTTTTGGCCCCTAATTCCTAAAATTTTGAGGCAATTACCCCCAAAATCAATTACAGCCTTCCCTTTGTGATATAGAACCTTGTGGTACAATGTCAGAGAGATCCATACACTTACACACAAGTTATTGTCTGGAAGTTACAAAAATGCTTATTTTTGGCCCCTTTTTGGCCCCTAATTCCTTAACTGTTGGTACCATAACCCCCAAAATCAATCCCCACCTTCCTTTCGTGGTATTGAACCTTATGGTAAAATTTCATGGAGATCCATTCACTTAAACTAAAGTTAGAGTGCGAAAACCAATGTGTCTTCGGACGACGCCGGACGACGCCAGACGACGACGACGACAACGACGACGACGACGACGACGACGACGCCAACGTCATACCAATATACGACCAAAAAATTTTCAATTTTTGCGGTCGTATAAAAACTGAAATCTGTCTGTAATTCAATTTACTTATTCTATTAATGGCAGAAAGTTTGACTTTTTATACAAAATATAAAGCCCCACTCCCAAAATTCCCTATTGAACTCATAACTGCCTAAATGAATAAGAAGAAACTTCTTCCACTGGCTACATTATGGTACATCACTGTTATCACCAAGATATCTCCAATATTAATCAAACAAATAGATTTACAATAAACTTTCCTTAACAGTATTTCTCCATTCTAAATGCAAGAGATATCCTTATAATGAAATGTTTCCTTTATTTAGATATGTAATTTTCATTGTCAATTGCTGTACTTGTTTATACTCTCAGATGTGCTTTAAAAGACACAAAACTCTTTCTATTACTAATGATACTTGTTCAAAAGCTAAATATAATAATAATTGCTAAAAGGAAACATTAAAAATCTTATTTCATGTATAATGTCTTCTAAAGAATTCCAATTTTGATCTTCAATGAGCATGAATAGAAGATCTTGAATATCATGGGGGATTTCTATAAAAATAAAATGCTTCGCTGGGGCGCAGCTTGATACGACCGCAGAGGTCGAACCCTGAACAGTTGGGGCAAGTATGGACACAAAATTCAAGCTTGATACAGCTATGACTTTGGATTGTCATTAAATATTTGACACAGCATAGGTTTCTGACACAGGATGAATGTGGTGTAAGAACTGGAAAAAATTTAATTTACCTATTATGGTGGAATATCCATAAACTAAATTGTTTGTTAATTTCAATATATCAAAGAATATGTAGAATTCAATGTTTGATGTAATGTAATAAAGTTGAAATTTGGACCGTTTTTGTTCAATGTGGACCAATTTGGTAACATGTATAAATAATCAAAAATCTAAATACATGGGAGCCCATTTAAATACATCATAAAGGTATTAAAATAGAAAGAGACATCATAGTCATGGCTAAAAATAAACAAAAATCCTTAATCAGCAACATTTAAAGTAATATCTAAAAATAAAATTCCTTTGTAACCATAAAAGCCCATTTAAATACATCATAAAGATATTAAAATAGAAAATGACATCATAGTCATGGCTAAACATAGCAAAAACCCTTAATCAGCATCATTTAACAGTAATATCTAAAAATGGAAATTACATCATAAAGGTATTAAAATAGAAAATGACATCATAGTCATGGCTAAAAATAAACAAAATCCTTAATCAGCATCAGCAACATTTTATAGTAATATCTAAAAATAAAATTCCTTTGTAACCATAAAAGCCCATTTAAATACATCATAACAGATATTAAAATAGAAAATGACATCATAGTCATGGCTAAACATAGCAAAAACCTTAATCAGCATCATTTAACAGTAATATCTAAAAATAAAAATTTCTTTGCAACCATAAAAGTAAAATAGAAAATGACATCATAATCATAGCTAAAAATAAACAAAAATTTTTTTTATTGGCAAATTTTAAATGGAGTTTATTATACTAAAACAATAAATTTGCAACCATAAACATGATAAAACCCCATTTAAACACATCATAAAAGTATTAAATAATTCAACTACATCATAAGGCTATAAAAAAAGAAAATGACTTCATAGTCAAGGCTAAAGGTAAACAAAAAACCTTCATCAGCAAAATTTTATATTGGCAAATTTCCAATGAAGTTTATTACACTAAAATTGTTGGCAAATTTCCAATGCATTTATTAACAATAAAGTTATTGGCAAATTTCCAATTTACATAATTTAAAAGCAGTGTAGATGAGATATTTAAATGAGTTTGAATTACCAACCTTACACTGCTTTTAAATAATGTTCTTTACTCAATTATTTGTCTATTAAAATGGAAACCCTTGTTTTTTAACCTTTTTTCCCCTTATTCCTTAAACATTAGAGCCATAACCCCCCCCCCCCCAAAGCCAATTATTACTTTCCAATGTAACCTAAATTTCCAATATACATAATTTTAAATTTCAATTCCTCATGATATATAACCGTATCATTATTATTTTCTTTCATATATAAATCTGAAACAACCATCTTTAAATGGAAAATTTTAAAGAAAAAAAAAGGAAAAAAAAAAATCCTACCTCCCACACATTTTTTCAACCCCCTTTTGATTCATCATCCCCCACCTCAATCACAACCTTCAATTTGTGGTATGGTACATTGCAATACAATTTCACAGAGATCCATACACTTGAACACAAGTTTTTGTTGCAAACTAAAAAAATCCTTATTTTTGACCAATATTTGGCCCCTTATTCATAAATGTTTGAGCAATTAACCCCAAAACTCAATTCCTACTTTCTCTTCGTGATAAAAAATAACTAACTTAAAATGTAAATTTTAAACAAAAAAAAAGGGAAAAAAAAAAATTACCCCTTTTTTGACCCCCGCCCCCCTTATGATTCATCACCCCCACCCCCTTTCCCCCCAAACCAAGCTCAATAACAGCCTTGCCTTTGTGGTATGGTACCTTGTAATACAATTTTAGAGAGATCCATACACTTGAACACAAGTTATTGTCTAGAAACTAAAAAATGCTCATTTTAAACCCCTTTTTAGGCCCCTTATTACTAAACGTTTTGGGCAATTACCACAACACTCAATTCCAGCTTTCCCTTTGTGAAATGGAACCTTGTAGTAAAATTTCAGAAAGATCCATACACTTACACACAAGTTATTGTCATGAAACTAGAAAAATGCTTGTTTTTTGCCCCCTTTTGGCCCCTTATTCCTAAAATTTTGAGGCAATTAACCCCAAAATCAATCCCAGCATTGACCCTTTGTGATATGGAATCTTGTGGTACAATGTCAAAGAGATCCATATGCTAACACACAAGTTATGTCTGGAAGTTACAAAAATGCTTATTTTCGGCCCCTTTTTGGCCCCTAATTCCTTAACTGTTGGTACCATAACCCCCAAAATCAATCCCCACCTTCCTATTGTGGTATTGAACCTTATGGTAAAATTTCATAGAGATCCATTCACTTAAACTAAAGTTAGAGTGCGAAAACCATTGTGTATTCGGACGACGACGACGACGACGCCAACGTCATACCAATATACGACCTCAAAATTTTTTTGCGGTCGTATAAAAACTACTATAGTATACAAATAAATTATATGTCCTGGCATTGAATAAAAATGCTGAATATTATGTGCATTTTATTCTGTTAAACTTAAATAAATATATCAATACATACAGCAATATAACTAAATTGAATAAAAGTGGCTTCTTATTATTTCCTTTGTTTAAATAAATATATTTCCATAAAAAGAAAAGCTTATTATGAGACAGGAAAATGTTTTCACCCACTTCCTATAAATAAACCCATTAAAGGATTTACTCAATACGTAACTCAAACCATGGGAAAAACGTTACTTCTGAAACTAACAACACAGTCAATAGTCTTTTCTAATACAATCTGATATGTCAATTCTGCAAGGCCAAACAATAAGTGTTGGTGTGTGTTTTCTACTTTCAGAAAGATAAAAGTTAAGAGTCAGCCAATATGTATTTTTTACAAAATGAAAGATCAGATATTGGCCATAACTGTGCTAATCTGAATAATGCAAAAAATATTTAGTGTTTGAATCAAAAGATGCAGCCTCAAAGGCAGCAGAATACAAACATTTTTTTTGTATATGGTTAATATTTAACCACCCTCCCCCCCACAGTTTTCAATTGATTTTGTTGTGTTTTGCATGACAATTGAAAAGGCGTTTTTTTCCCCTCATAGAAATCCTTAAGACATAAAACTCATAAAAAGAAATACCAGGATGTTTAGTCTTTTTTCAAATCAAGTTTAACATCCAAATTATCAGATATTTTACTATCTGTGTTTTCTGATGATTCATCTGTAGGTGTATCTGTTGAAGGATTTACTGTATCTTCTAGTTCCTCATCTGTTGATTCACCTCCTGTTGTGAAGGTCACTTTGTCAGGAGTTTCACTATGTAACAAAGGTTTTGATTGGATATCTATGTTAGTTGATGTAACATTATCTGATTGATCAGTATGTGTGATGTTTGTTGTGTTTTTTGTATCAACTGGTACACTGTCAGTTTGTTGAACATCTAGACTGTTATCTATTGGTTCTAGTTTTGGTATAAGGTGCTCTATTGGAGTCAAAACTTTTGTTATATCAACAATACCCAAATTTCCCTGTAAAAGATAATTATTGAGTAAATTTCAGTAATTTCAAATACTCAGAATTTTAACTGCATAAGATAAAACAATAAAGTAATGCAAAACAATAGACCATATCACTAATTGGGATTCTGCTCCACTTGAAACAACATTTTCTCTTGTGATGTGTAAATTTTATGGAAACATATGATATAAAGTAATGGAGGAAAAAAGCAAAGTGTTTTATCCTTGTTAATCCCAACGATGAAGAAATTTGTTGTTTTGCTGTAATATCTTAGAACAGTTACATGCAATGTGGCTCAATAAAATTGTTTAACACAACTTAATAATTTTTAAAAACTTTTTGAAAGTAAGGCCATTTTTAATGTTCACATAGATGTTGAAAATGAGATGTTTACAATGACTGATTCTCTGACAAAGTTTGAGGGAATACAGTATCTGTTCAAATATACCATCTTTGTTTGTTAATGCCATTACTGATTTAATGCAGATAGAGGGAAAACACCAAAGACATCTAAACATCACTGTATCACAACTGCTAGTTTTTCTGACAGAAAACAGTGGTATTCTAAATTAACCAGTTTGATATCAAGATTTTTATTAAATACAGTATTGAAGAAATTATAGTGTGCATTTATTATTGTGATTGATCAAAAGACAAAGATGCCATCTATTATACATGAGATTTCAGGAAAAGTTAGCATAGAAATAGAGCAATCAGAATTTAAAATGTGAATTCTTATGAATACTTATTGCATTGCATTTTTAGCAATAATAAAACATTGCAAAAACTGAATTTACAGTAACTATCAAAATGAATATATCCAATTTAGGAATTTGTATGTCTGCCTTTTTTGACAATATTCTGAACTATTCTGGTAACTATGACTGCTTCCAGACTCTTGTTACTTTTACAAATATATTATTTATAATGAACTCTGCATTGCTAAGTATAAATCAATTTGCCATATTAAAATCCACAATTATTTTTGGCAAATTTTTAAATACATCAATATGATCTTCTTTTTTTTGAATAATTTTGATAGGACTAGAAGACAAAAGCACACAATTTTGTATAAAAAATCAGAAACTTTTTGTCAAACCACACACAAAGTTAAAATAATGCACATTTTACAAAACTTGTAAATGTAAAAGCTTACCATTTTATTAAATTCTAAGATAGACACTCCCAGTATCTGTGCCAAGTGTTGTGGAGGAAACAGTGTCTGTAGACATTTATTTATGTATGGTACCAAGTCTGTTATATAAACTGTACAAAAATTATCAAAATTATCCTTCTCTTTTTTGTCAAATGTGGTTTCTTCAGCTCTGTAAAACAAACAAAAATATATCATATCACTGTCATGTTAACTCATAGATTTAAAGGTGGGAAAATATTTTCAATACTATTGTGCTAAACATTATAGACATAACTTTTCCGAATAAAAGACAAATAATTATACTTTGTTTGTCTGTTTGGAATATTAACTGTTCTTAAAATTTTACATTAAAAAGAATATCTTTATATTGTTTATCTAGAGATATAACTTCTGCCACTGCATCAAGATTAATATGGTATTTCTCCTCTAGGGATAGTTCAAGGAGTAGGACTGACAAGACCCTTTTTTGGGCCCAAAATATAGCATTTTAAAACTTTGTTAAAAATGTAAACTTTTAGCTATTTACTGGAAAGTAGAAAACTTTTGTAACATAATCATTGGCTGTTTTTTACATTACACTGCACATTCATCAGGTACTAGCATCATTTATTCCTGCAAAATTACTGAAATCTTCACAATTTTAGCATTTGTGCTAATTTTAAGATGGTTTGTCTAAAATGAAAGTGGCCGTACTTGTGTTCAGTCTTAATATTCAAATATAGGTTGTATTTGATGATGATACATAACGCATATAAAGGTTGAGACTGAACATGAATGCAACCACTTCCATTTAAGACACAAACCATCTGAAAAGTGACATTTTGTGGCATATCTGATCAATTTTTCATATTCAAGCTTGAAGTTGGGCGTCTTTAATGACCAAATCAGTTCAAATCTTTTACTTAAACTGATTGAGTCGACTGGAGAAGACATTTAAGTGTTTTAAAAATGTCAAAAATCTTTCATCAGATGTACTTCAATTTTTAGGCCAAAATTAGCCCTTACAGGACCTTCTCCTTTTCAAATTTAACATGCAAGGCTTGTTCAAATAGCTCAATAAAATTCATTTGCAAGAAAACGGATTTATATGTATAATGTTTTAGTAAAGATGTTTCAATCTTCATAAACTCTGGGACTTAATGGTTCTTCAATTAAATTTAGAAATTTAATCTCATTCTTTTTCATAACTGTGCCACAATAACTGATATTTTACAATTTAGGAATATCTTGTTACCTGTGGAATGCCAGTATAATTCTGTTGATTTGCTGTAGTGATGATTCTAAAGCCTGAGATACTTCACAAGCCATGGATATAGGAGCACAGAGTCGTAACTCATTAAATGCTGTCAGTATATGGTTACAGTAGGCAGCCAGGGGATAGAAGTCCAACAGTACATTAGGAGGGTACATTTGTCCTGCCTGAAAATTAATTATCCTTTAAATCAAATTGATTAAATAATAAACTGTAAGTTTACAATGCCTATGGATACTGATATTGGTGAGTAATTATTATTTTTTTAAATGAAATTTATATTTACATATCACTAATCTTATTTGATAAAGTAATCAAATAGAAAATCAGGTTTATACTCTGCAGTATTATCAAGAAAATTACCTCTCCTACTCTCATACTTAACTAATGTCCAAATTTTATTCTAAATGGGATTCATCCAAGTCTCAATTCACTTTCAGTGCTAAAAAGCATATGCTTCAGAAATGAAGTTTAACAGTGTTTTGAGGGCTATTTAGTAGAAAATAACATTACTTACCCCTCCATTGTTGCATTTATGTACTTCTGTACCATTCCAATTCTAAGCAAGGTGCCCTTTTTAAATAGGGGGATACCAGATAAGCAGTGCAAGCTCATTTACCCCTCTAAGTTTTATAATCATATGTCCATAAAATTTAATTTATAACAGGGAAGGGGAAATAACTCAAATATGAAACTATCATTACTACACATCTCACAATGGTCTCCCCCTTAAATTGAGTCAAATGTAAATAAATGTATACCTGACTGGCTGAAACATAAGAACTACCACTGGTTGAAGTCACATTCAAAAGATTATAAGACTGCATATTTTCCTCAAATCTAAAATATAACACAATCACATGATAAAAAACAAGGGAATATGTATGAGCAATTGAGAAAGGAGTAGGTCTAAAATATACTTCTATACATTTATAAATAAAGAAATTGGTGGCACCCATTAAAACATAATTCTTTTATAGGTATTCACTCAATAGTTATCATTATTTTTCCATATCTGTTTTAGCTGTATGAGCTCTTGCCATTGCTCAGAACAATCACTATAATCCTTGACATGTCTTACAATTATTTGAGAAATATTCGTTTCAAGACACTCTGATATGATAATATCACTGCTCTTACTTTTTAATTGCCTCAGTCAAGGCCAATGTAAATGTATTTAGTGCTGCCCTCTGGAAGATAGGTGCCAATAGTCCTCTGAAGTCAGCACCAACTCTACTGAAAGACAGTCCAAAGTACATACACTGCCCAAGGATAGAATCTAAACGTCCACCTACTCCTCTCTGTAAATCTGATTCTAATGTTGATAAAAACTGAGAAACCTGAATCAAAGAAAATATAAAGTTACATACAACATCTACACAAAACAAAAAGTATTTTATCCTGCAATCAGCCAACTATTGTACAAATAACAGGTACACAAATAAATTTTTGCTTTTTTTGTACTTGTACAAATAAAGTCTCCTGTTTCCCTCTGCCATGTTGAGCAAGCGGTAATGTGGATATTTCTTTTAGGGGTCCACTTCCCGGTCCGCGTTTAAACTATGTCGATTTCTTTGAAAAATTAGAGACAATGATTTAGATTTTAACAACTAAAGTTTCAAGTGTTTGGTGTAAATTTCAGGATTAAAACAATATATGTACATTGTTTGAAAATATAAAATTTATTTGTACATGCTGCGAAACAGGAGAAAAGCTCGGTGAGCCTTGCTTTTCGTCCTGTTTCTTAATCTCATACAAATAAATTTTATATTTTCCGATAATGTACATATATTGTATATATACTTTTGCAAACTGTTGTATGAATAAATCACATATACCTTAGATTATACAAAAATTAAATTAATGTTAATCAGGGTTTTTTTTATGAGAGTCCAGATGCTTGCCAATGTTTTAAGCTAAAATATCAATGCCATAGTTTATTATTATATCTTCTGGTCAAAACAAAATAAGAAATTTGTTTATACATTTTTTTAATACTTTTGGATGACTGGAGCTGATACAATCTGGTTCATATTTGGACTCAACAGGTAATAAAATGATAGAAATATTAATGATGCAACTGTTTTAACCCATCCACAAATTTATGTACCTTTTCAGGCCATTAAAAATGGTTTTATAGTTATAACTGAACATTTTATTTTCTTAAAGCAGGATTTGGTGTTTACCGCAGATCTTCTAGAGTAAATTTCTTCACACTTTTTTTCCTCACTCATAGCATATAAGTATATTGTTGAAACAGAAGGTTCAATTTTCTAGAAGTCTTATGAATTTTTTGTATTGTTGGGTTGCTGTTTCATTGATGTTAATCCCATTTCTCCTTTGATTTGTTTTTATTGCTTATATCGCTATTTTACCTATATTGTTACGTTGCAAGAACAAGTGTTGTTGAGTTGCTGTCTCATTGATGTTAATCCCATTTCTCCTTTGATTTGTTTTATTGCTTATATCGCTATTTTACCTATATTGTTATGTAGCAAGAACAAGTGTTGTGGAGTTGCTGTCTCATTGATGTTTATCCCATTTCTCCTTTTGATTTGTTTCATTGCAAATATTGCTATTTTACATATTTTGTCATGTAGAAATACACTCTTTTTCATAACAGACCTTCTGGACAACCCATCCATGAAACAAAGCAGCTTCATTGATAGATTCCTCTTTAGCTGTACTTAGTAACGGATCCTCATCGGAGAATATAGCTCTGTACTGTGTTATTATATCAAAAAGGTGTACTCTACTAGCTTCTATTGTCTTTGTGATATGTGTATAGGCTGAAAAAAATGTTTTCCTTTGTTAATCGTGAAAGCATATATAATGATTGAAACAAACAAACATTTAAATTTATTGCTGAAGACCTTAAGACGGTCTAAAAAAATTCTAAAAATAAAAGTGACTTTTCTTGGGATATTCTGTTTTTTCTCTCTACTATTACATGATATTATTTTCTCCTTTATAATTATATCAAACACATATTCTTTCAAGGATGTGAATCTCATAAACTGTTGAACACAGTCATTATTATTGTGACTGTTTATATCTGGAATTAGTACATTTGTAATTCAAAGGAATTCGGTCTTCATTTTAAACACTTTGTTTTTATTCTTATATTCTTCTTAAATTCATCTTTAGCTATGTCTGTGTGATCTTGTTCACTATACATATGGGGTATCTTAAGCTTGATCTATGATGAAAGATTGTAGAGGACCATATATATACAATATTTTTTTTAATTTAGACATGATGGCAAATTCATGTTTATGTATTTCCTCCTCTTTCTAAACATTTCTAAGCAAAAAAACTGAAGTGAATATTTTATAGCTGACACTTGGCAACAAGTTACAACACAAAAAGTTATCTGAATCAAAAAATTTGATATGGGAGCTTATAATTAACATTGTATTTATTCAAATAAAACTAAATAATGGGGAAAGTATTTCATCAATAGCAATTTTCATGGTTTATCATACTTTTAAAATTTGTATGTTACAAATCAATGAGAACTTCTGTCTTTTATTCATGGTTAACATTGTTCCATTGTCCCTGTGTTGCACATATTTTATCTGTCCCAGGACAATAACTAAAACTTTCAAAACTTTTTATTTATATCTTAGAGAAATGAAGGTTAGAAAGCTCTAACAATGCAATTTTCCATATAATTAATATTACCAAGGGCATAACTCTTTTAAAAAAATAATTGATCGGCACTTATTTTCAAATTTGTCTGGGACATTGCTGATTTAAACCTATGCTAAAAGTATCATAAAAATCTGGTAAGAATTGTACATGTGAAAGTGCTTACAGTGCAATTTTCCATATAATTAATGTTTCAAAGGAACATCACTCTTTTAAAAAAAATTGATAGACACTGATTTTCAAACTTGTCCAAGACATTGCTGAAAAAAAAACCTATGACATAAGTTTCATAAAAATTTGACAAGAATTGTACATGTGAGAGTGCTAACAATGCAATTTTTCCATATTATAAATATTTCCAAGGGCATAACTCTTTCAAAAAAACTTCATCAGCACTGATTTTCAAATTTTCCAAGACATTGCTGATATAAACCTATGATATAAATTTCATAAAAATTTGGCAAGAATTGTACATGTGAAACGCTAACAAGACTGGACAGTAAGACAGAAGGACGCCCGTTATTTCTATGTCCCCCACAGTGCATTGCGCAGGAGGCAATAATACTTCCACATGATGTTAAATTATTACATACGATCATCTTTAGGTAGTGCACCAAGAATTCCCTGGAACCATGAATCTCTTGCCTGAAATGAACAACACAAACTATATTGTTTTCTACAATAAGTATATTTCTATCTTACTAGCTTCTATAACTTCTAGGTAGATTATTTTATATCTACACATCAAAAATTTAAGCTGTAGATTTAGTTTTCAGCAACTTATTATATGTAACTAGATTTTCATGTAACGGTACTCATATAACCCCCAAAAAACTATGATTGCTAATATGACAAAAAAAAGTATCAAATTTTAAGTCTGAAGTCAATAAACATCGACTCCTTTCATCAAACTAGGGAAAACAGTTCTTATGCAATACTGTGACAATTTAAAAAATAAAAACCAACCTGTCACATTAATCATTGTTCTGCCTTAATGATCATCAATTGGGATATGGTTCTAAAAACAAACTTAAAACTCAACTTATCTATTGATTTTTGTAGTGCGGAACCTTGAGATTTTAATCATCTGAATAACTTACATTGTAACAGTTGTGATTTTTTTATTTATAGAAAAGTTGAAATAAATATTTTCTTCTCATTATTATAAAGTCTCAATATCTTCCTTTAAACAAGATAAACTATGTACAAATAATATGATTTCACATTTATATAGGTATAAGTGATTATGCACACCTGTAAGAATTTGATCCTGAGTTCTGCCTCTGTAAATACATCCATACGTCTAAGATATCCTATAACACGTAGACAAGCTGGTAGTTGTACATTGGTCCTTAACTGCTGTATCAGGTGGTTCAACATCAGTTGTGTAGAGTTCTTTACTTCATTCACTATATTCTGTGAAAATATAACCAAAAAATTCAACGCTCATCATTCCATTCTTTTAAACCCTCAAATTGTCTTTATTGTGGACATGGAACTATTCCTTTTTGTAAAACTAAGGACTATAAGTGACTGAAATTATTTTATAATTAAGATTCTTTTCATTGTTTGTATTTTATAAACAGTGGACAAGTCTAATGTTAGTAACCATGGAACCGATTACTTACATTTATCACAGATATTGAGGAATGTTTCTTTTCCAGTCTCTTGACGTGAGCTGCAAGTTCCAGAGCCTCTTCAAAGTAGCCATTCCTGACACAAGTATCCATAAGTTGAGGGATTTCCAGTACCTCTAATAACTGGGTGTGTCTCTGTAGCGTCAAATTATTCATCCTACGACTAAAAATTTGAAAGAAAATTAATTTAATTTTTCAAAATATTTTGAATATATAATTATTCAAAGGTGGTGAAAATAGCAGGGTTAGCAAAGTATTGTCCTGGCGTGAAAACCCAGGTCTGGGATTATACTCCCTGAAATGGATATATATAATACCAGGCAATACTAGGCAATAAGATTTTTTAAGCTTTTTTTTTACATAAAATAGTACAGAAATACTGTAGTTTCATAGTATTATTGCTATAAATTTTATACAGATAAACATAGTAATTTTTTTTAGAGGATGAACAAATGCAAGATCCTCCTTTTCTTTAATAATTTATTATAGACAGAATATATTTAAGTTTTGCAAATTTTTGGACACCTCGTTTATTTCTCAGTTTTTTTTTAATCAATCAAAAGATTGAAAAAAATGTATTTTAACAATAGTACAATGAATTGGAAAATTTAATTGCTTTACGATCAAATTGCTAAGTATATACACCCTAAGAGGTCATTTCATCCATACTTATAAAGATGAAAAAGCTTGTTATTGCAAAATAAACAAATCTGTGTTATAATCTGAATAATTACTTATTACATTTGTAATTAGTGACGTCATTGTAATCGTGCTAAAATTGTTTCAACAATAAAAATAGAACATGTTATGAACAAAAAATGTTGAATAGTCATTTTCCTTACATAATAAATAGTTTACGTTAAATCTTAGTTAGAAATATAAAAAAATTAATAAAAAGAATACTTTGGCTCATGATAACAGTTTGACCAATTAAGACAGAATGGCAATTTAAAATATTTATAAATGTTTTAGGAGGATTATCTATAAATCTTATTTAGATTACATTTCAATCAAGTCTATGTGTGCTCATGTATGTATTAAAGTTGCTGGACCAAAACTCACTCAAATTTTTACACCTTAAAATAAGAGTCTCAAACAAATGAGCTAACAAATTAAAATATCATGTCTTATATATATCTTTTATGCACTGCATTTGTAATTGTAATCACTGAATCCTCTTTAAAGAGTCACACCAATATTTCATATTAACCAGTATTGCAAAGTAAAACCTGGGTTTTCCCCGTATTTCCCACTGGGCTGGGCAATACTGATTATACACAGGCACTTGTCTCTAAAAAAAAAAATTTACCTACATACTTTAATATAACACAAGGTACCTAACTCACATATTTGAGAAATGTCACCAGGTCGCAAACATCCATTATATTTCGATTCTGCAGTTGTCTATCCCACTGAAACTTTTTATGTCGTAAATCTACATTTAATTATCTACAAAATGGTGTATAACACGCCTATTTCTATTGTCGCAATCATTCGTAACAGGCCTTCAAAGTATGTCAACCATAATTATTTCGTCTTCTCACAGCCGATTGGAATTGTAAGGCTCACAGTGAATGATTACGGTGTAATAGTCAAACAGACATAGGCACACTGTTGTTAAAACAAGTCTATGGAAAGATGTTACAATTTTGTACCTTGAATTAATTTCCTGTGCTTGTTTAGTAACCACTTCACATTCCTCTGACAAGCTTGGTAAGTTCTGTAGTAAATTGTCCACATGTTTCTCTATGATCTGGAACTACAGTAAAAAACAATTGAGATAATTGTAATGAAATATTGTTGACTGGGATATGTTCAAAATTACAAGGCATTAATCTCACAGATATGGTATATAAGTACAATATACACTTGTCACAGGGATTGCCATGGTACTGCAAGGGAATGACTATTGAACCTTTACCCAATAAGATGAAAACAAGTTTCTTATTTACATTGTCAAAAAATTTCACCGAAAAAAATCAAATACAATAGTATTAATTATTTCTGGTTTTTATATCAGTTGCAGTTGTACTTCAGTGATTATTTCTTTCCACAGACAGCTTCATAAGCCTAATGTTAAGTTACACTTACATCCTCAAATATTTCTCTCGAACATTCGGCAGTTTGAATAAATGTCTTGTAATGTGTAAAAGCTAAGTTCTGAGTTTCTTGTAGAATCTGTGACTTTTCATCTGACAGTCTGTCAGGTTCCATGGCTGAAACATCAAATAAACAAGTTTTTTAATACTATTGGAATATTCCTACATTAACCACACAACTGCTTTAATGTAGTTTTTTTTTTTTTCCTTTTACAACTTTTGTTGTGTTTATTTTTTCCCAAAATATATATTTAAAGCTTAGATTTTTTTTAAGGTTTTCAAGACTGCAAAGTTCATTATTTTTAAGGAATGACTGAAATATTTTTTCTGTCTATGAAGAAATAACATAAAAAATGTGGTGCACACTGAATAACCCGCATAGCAGGTTATTTAAAAGTGTGCACCACATTTTTTAGGTTATTTCGAAAAGACAGAAAAAATATTACAGTCAGTCCTTTTAATTTGATTCTAAATTCCATTTTTAAGGAGTAAATCATAAAAAAACATTTATGACGTCACAGTCACAGTACAAAATTATGTCTATGAGCTGATAGACAAAACACTTTCAGCCAATCAGAAGAGGTGTTTCATCTAAAATTAAAATCATATTATTATAACTAAAACATAATAAAAACAAGAGTGCACACGCTGAAATGTCTCGCCTTCTTTACTAATCATTGATATTATGTTGATAGTCCTAAATATAAAGCTTTATTACAACTGCCACATAAACTTAACATTAACCAAGTAAACTAAACATTGACCAATGAACCATGAAAATGAGGTCAAGGTCAGATAAACCATGCAAGGCAGGCATGTACAGCTAACAAATCTTATATACAACAAATATAGTTGACCTATTGCTTATAGTTTAAGAAAAACAGACCAAAACACAAAAACTTAACACTGAGCAATGAACCTTGAAAATGAGGTCAAGGTCAAATAAAACCTGCGTGACTGACATATAGATCATAAAATATTTCCATACACCAAATATAGTTGAACTATTGCATATATAGTATTAGAAAAAAAGACCAAAACTCAAAAACTTAACTTTGACCACTGAACCATGAAAATGAGGTCAAGGTCAGATGACACCTGCCAGCTAGACATGTACACCTTACAATCATTCCATACACCAAATATAGTAGACCTATTGTATACAGTATAAGAAAAACAGACCAAAACACAAAAACTTAACTATAACCACTGAACCATGAAAATGAGGTCAAGGTCAGATGACACCTGCCAGTTGGACATGTACACCTTACAGTCCTTCCATACACCGAATATACTAGACCTATTGCTTATAATATCTGAGATATGGACTTGACCACCAAAACTTAACCTTGTTCACTGATCCATGAAATGAGGTCGAGGTCAAGTGAAAACTGTCTGATGGGCATGAGGACCTTGCAAGGTACGCACATACCAAATATAGTTATCCTATTACTTATAATAAGAGAGAATTTAACATTACAAATAATCTTAACTTTTTTTTCAAGTAGTCACTGAACCATGAAAATGAGGTCAAGGACATTGGACATGTGACTGACGGAAACTTCGTAACATGAGGCATCCATATACAAAGTATGAAGCATCCAGATCTTCTACCTTCTAAAATATAAAGCTTTTAAGAAGTTAGCTAACGCCGCTAACGCCGGATCACTATCCCTATGTCGAGCTTTCTGCGACAAAAGTCGCAGGCTCGACAAAAATGACTTTATTTAAAATTGTTATACTTATGCATATACATATGTCATGTATGTATAAACAAGATGGTGTATATAATATATAAATAAAAGGAAATGTGAGGTATATGTCAATACAATAGCAACCAAACTAGTCAACTAAGGTCAGTCAGGGGTACTACTTGTGCAAGTTATTTTTATTTACTTGAAGAAGTAAATATTAATATACTTATACATGTTATATAAGTAAATTTGTAAGATATTTATACAAGTGTATTTTATTAACTTGTATAGGTAAATTATTTTAATGGCTTAGTTATGTCCCTTAGACAATCAGATTTTTTTTACTTATACAAGTAAACAAGTCATACTATCATCTTTTCTTGAATTTTTCGAGACATCTTTGCTCTAATAGAATTTTTAATTGTCTGTCCTTTGCAGATGTCTTTACTAATCGTTAAAGTGTAATTTCATGGACAGTGAAAATCACATTTGTCTGTTATCTTCAAAACACTGCTCATTTACAAGCCCCCAAGGGTCAATTTTTGAAGGCCTTGTGCAATTACTTTTAAAAGATCTTTGGGCAATTAGTTTCTTTGTTGAATTAATGAGATGAAACATTGAACTCTAATAAAAAAAATTATGAGCTAACCAGAGAAAAATTGTTTAAGGCATGTTTTTGCATCCCAAAACTTGAGAATTTTAGGGATTGTAAACAAAAATTACTAATACAAGTAAATTTTTTGAGAAAATTAAGGGGAGATTATTCAAACCTTATAAGAAAATATGAATATAACAAATTTACTTTTATAAGTGTATTATTTTTACTTCTTCAAGTCAATAAAAATAACTTGTACAAGAAGTACCCCTGACTGAAGGTTGATGAAATAAAGTAATAGATTTTTGTGTAAGATCAACACATAAAGATCTACAAAATGTATATAAAGATTACAACAGCTACTCTTATTATTTGAGTATTGGAAATAAGCTACTTAAAAATATGTTCCTTGACCTATGATCTCGCTTGCTATGCTGTATTGTTTTTGCTCATTGTTGAAGGCAGTATGGTGATCTATAGTTGCTAACATCTAAATAGTTTGGTCTCTGGTAGGCAGCTGTCTCATTGACAATCATACTACATTTCCTTATTTCATACACATACAACAACTTACATAACTTGCTGACTCCATAAGAACTTAGTTCTGATAAATAATGGATGAAATCAGGACTTTCTGTCCAGGAATCTATAAAAAGAAAATATATAGAATCAATAACTTTTAATTAATGCATGGGTTCAATTTTCATTTCCTATACATTATTCCTGGCAAAATACATGAATACGATGTAAAACAATAGGTTCCAAACTCTAAAGAGCCTGTGTCGCTCACCTGGATCTAAATACATGTATGTGAGTTTTTCAACAATGGCCACTCTCAAACATTATAGACTAGAATATAATTTGTGTATTGCTGATAATTTTTTTTTCAGTTTTCAGTTTCTCGTTATCGACTTTAGTTTTTGCCCAAAATACAAAAAAATGGGTAAAATTTTCAATCAAGGGCAACAACTTTCATAAGAAGTGGACTTTTTGGGAAATGTTTGACTCATTTGTAGATCTCATTTTGTTCATTATTTCTGCAGGTTAAAAATTCTCTCTCTATTATCCTACTTTAGAAAATAGACAAAACTAAATAAAAAGTGGTTAACCAAAAAGATTGTCATTTAAGGGCAATAATTCCTGTTATGAGTAGTTTGACAGTTTTGGTGTAAATGGACAGTGGGTAAATCTCAACATTTTGAACATTTATAACCGTCTCATATTTTCCCTATTTACAAAAATGTATAGTCGATTTCAAAATAATAGACAAAACTTGCATTTTACCCCTATGTTCTGTTCTTAACGATGTCAGCCATGTTGGTTTGACAGCAGGATTATTGGACACATTTTTTAGAACTTAATATATGCCAATGAAGATTATGGCCAAGTTTGGTTCCAATTGGTCCAGTAGTTTAATATATACCAATGATGATTATGGCTAAGTTTGGTTCCAATTGGTCCAGTAGTTTAATATATGCCAATGGTGATTATGGCCAAGTTTGGTTCCAATTGGTCCAGTAGTGTCAGAGGAAATTTTGGTAAAAGTTAACAGAAGATGACAGATGTCAACTGATTTGCTGATGGACCGTAGCTCTCATATGGTCCTTATGATATGTTTTGACATTTGTGGACCATAGATCTACAGATCATGCAGATTATTCCTATGTTAAAATGTTCGGAATTGAGAGCAATGTTCAGGTTGCATTTATTTCCAAAAACTGTATTGTTTATCAACCATGCATAGCTTGTCAATGCATATAGTTGTTTCATCAGATATTTTTCTATTGATAGTTATATTTTAATCGCATGCCATTTGAGGGTCCATGATTGGTTAATAAAATCTTGATTCTTTGTCTCATTGACAAGCCAAAAAGTATTATGAAAAGTTAAACATGCAAAATAAAGTTGTAAAAAACAAGAGTCGCTGGGAGTTCATCAGGCAGCACCTTTACTTCTGTTATGCATCTTTACATGGAATCCAGGTCCTTTCGCCCCAAAACATGTTCGCTCCCATTCACATTTACACCCTACACGTTCGCACCCTGGGTCCTTTTGCACCCTACACGTTCACACCCTTTTTATTGGTTTTGTGTTGAATAATTTTTCTATCGCTTTTTGGTTAGTGTATTGCTATATGCTATAAATATTTTTTTTGTTCATTGTTTCAAAATGAAGTGACTTTCTAAAACGATTTTTGTGTTGAATAATTTTTTAATCGTGTTTTGGTTATTGTATTGCTATAAACATGATAAATAAGATCTTTTTTCATTGTTTCAAAATTAAGTGACGTTTTTTGTGCTGAATATTTTTTTATCGTGTTTTGGTTATTGTACATGTTGTATTGCTATAAAAAAAAAAAATATTGTTTCAAAATAAAGTGACTTCCTAAAAAAGGTTTTTTGTGTTGAATATTTTTTTAATGTTAAGATACCAAACTGCTATTAAACTCAACAACAATAACATTTTGAATCTTCGTTGTTTTTACTCATACCATGCTAAATACATGCTAACTACATGTACATGTAGAATTTACACCAAAGCTAGTTAAAACAACAATCACGATTTTCAAACACATTTATAACAATAACACCAAGATTTGCTGCTGTGTAAACACCATATTATCAGTAATCACACATAATTAACATTTAAATAATAAATAAAATTAAAATAAAATTGAGAATGGAAATGGGAAATATGTCAAAGAGACAACAACCCGACCAAAGAGCAGACAACAGCCGAAGGCCACCAATGGGTCTTCAATGCAGCGAGAAAATCCCGCACCTGGAGGTAGTCCTTTAAGCTTGCCCCTTACTAAAATTGTTTGCTAGTTCAGTGAAAATGGACGTCACACTAAACTCCAAAACATATAAATGAACTAAAATTAAAAAACATACTAGACTAACAAAGGCCAGAGGCTCCTGACTTGGGACAGGTGCAAAAATGCGGCTGGGTTAAACATGTTTTGTGAGATCTCAACCCTCCCCCTATATAACAATTAATCATCAATTCAATTTAAAACAATATTTCATTTAAAAATTCCCGAATTTCTATTCATGAATATAAAAATATTTTGAAATAAACATCTAATAATTCATCAGGTTTTTGAATAAAAACAAAATGTGTGCAAACGTGTAGTGTGCGAACGGACCCGATTCCCTTTACATGTTCATATTCTCCTGTAGATCCATCCTCTATCAGGGGAACCTGGAATTTCTTCCAGTCATATGTTCCTAAATAACTGGCAATGAAAACTATGGAAAAACAAGAACTTAAAGAAGCCCCTGGGAAATATTATAGAGGTGCAAGGTGGACACTGCTAAATTGATGCTGATTTTAAAAGGAAAATTTCTCGTTATGAATATTTTCTGTTTATGTTTTCTTGAGGTAATTAGCATGAAATTTAAACCTGGGAAGGATTCCTTGAATATAGATGTCAGAATATTTTCGTCTTCCACGTCCGTCATTTTTACTTGATCAATGTCATAATTTATCTTGCATTGCTACAGATTTTCCTAGTTTTAAAACGTTTACATGATTTCAAGAAATAATTAACGAATCATTTCCGGATATATCATAACTCGAAAAGGCTCTCCTAAATCCTGACCTTTTTGTAACCAATGTAATTTTTTAGAAGTTCAATGATCACCCCAACACATTCATAAAAATGGCACTATACAGAGCAGATCCAAGTAGGGTACCATTACTGACAGAGGAAAATTCATTGGTCACCTTTGACGAAGATGACATTAAAAGATCTGTGATTAGAAAAAACAAGAAATCAAGGTATATGAGTATTTGTTTATTGATGATGGTGATCTTCCAATAGACAACTTTCGAGTTCGTTGCATTTCCGTCAAAAACTTTGGTTTTAGTGAACATCATTCGTGTATAAATGATGTCATAAGGGCGTGCGTAATTGACGATCTTTTCCGGTGAAAGACATGATTTGAATAGACGTATTTCATTTGTATGCAAATTTGTCCGCCATTACGTAAAATCACACAGGTTCCCGTAAACTTTGACATCATAATTCAAAACATTTGACGTCACAATTAAAAAGTGATTGTTGCCTGACGTCAAAAGGTGATTCGGAGTAGATCCAAGGTCATTCGGAGGCAAAATATAGCTAAATACCAAAAGTGTAAATACGTTTATAATAGCCTGTTGTGACTGATAAAGTACCTACGGCTACGGAATAAACATTATTTCTAGTTTATCCTACATAATGATGACCACGAAGACGATTGATGAACTTTAATAGTGCAGGGATACAGGTGGTCCCCTCTATCTGGTAAATGATGTCATCAAAGAGGCATAATTGAAGAACTTTTCGGTGAAGGACATAACTCGAAAGTGGTCTATTGGTGCTTTTTTCCCGAAAAAAAAACATTTCTCAAAGCAAATATCTTTATGTCACAATGTCCTTTGACATGTTTCCTCCCAAATGACCACAGGTCAATTTATTCATAAAACTGAAATTGGAATATCGTGTATTGTTATATATACACAATATGCAATAAAGACCAATTTCCAGTTCTATTTTATATATGATTTACGCAGTTTTACCATTTGTCAATCAATGTAAATGACCCCATAAACTGTCACGACTGTGACCTCATAACATACATGTATATATATATAATTGGAAATAAAATATCTTATCTTATATAAGAATTGTAACATTAGATATGTATGGGAAAATGCACAAATGTGAAGTCATCTATTCAATATGAGACGGGTGTATACGTATATGGGCAGTCTATGTATATTTTGGATTTTATTGAACTTTCATATGCATTTTGAACTCATTGAACTATTCATCTCCTCCAAAAAATGCAGGATTGGTAAAAACAAGGGTGTTATGAGTATTGCCCATCCAAGTGGGAAATCTGTAAAACCCATGATTTTACTGAGTTTTTTATGCCCCCGCCGTAGTGGAGGGGGCATTAAGTTTTACCCTTGTCCGTCTGTACGTACGTACGTCCCAAAATTGGTTTCCGTTCTCTAACTTTAATTTGCCTCAACCAAATGTTATGAAACTTATACACAATGCTTATTACCACAAAACACAGATCAAGTTTGAATTTTGGTGGCGTCACTTTAACCATTCTAGAGTTATGCCCTTTATAAATGGAAAAATTGCAAAAAAAATTTTTTTCTTCTAAATATCAAGTAATTTTTAAATTGGAGTTATCTTCCTTTTTATACTTGAATCAACTACAATCAATGCTTTATACAATGCAATGTTTAATTTTGACTTCCACTGATAAAACACAGATCAAGTTGAATTTGGGTAGTGTCACTTTAATCATTATTGAGTTATGCCCCTTTATAAATCGAAAGATTGCAAAATTTTTAGTTTCCATTCTGTAACTTAAGTTTGCCCCAACCAATTATTATGAAACTTATACACAATGCTTATTATTACATAATACAGATTAAGTACGAAATTTGATGACAACACTTTTACCATTCTTGAGTTATGTCCCTTTATAAACATAAAAATTTCTGAATTTTTCGTTTTCCGTTCTCTAACTTTAGTTTGTCTCAACCAAATGTTATAAAACTTATACACAACCGTTCTAGAGTTATGTGTGTTTACAAATAGAAAAATTGCTGAATTTTTATACGACCGCAAAAATTAAAAAATTTTTTGGTCGTATATTGGTATCACATTGTCGTTGTCGTCAGCGTCGTCCGAAGACAGATGGTTTCCGGATAATAACTTAAGTATAAGTACATAGAAATCAATAAAATTTTAACACAAGGTTTAACCACTAAAGGAAGGTTGGGATTGATTTTGGGGGTTATGGTCCCAACTGTTTAGGAATTAGGGGCCAAAAAAAAGGGGCCCAAATAAGCATTTTTGTAGTTTCCAGACAATAACTTGTGTTAAAGTGTATGAATCTCTCTGAAATTATACCACAAACTTCCATACAACAAAGGGATTGTTAGGATTGACTTTTGGGGGTTATGGCTCAAACCATTTAGTAATTAGGGGCAAAAAAAGGGGAAAAACAAGGGTTTTTCTGGTTAAAGGACAATTGAGACAATTTAAAAGCAGTGTAAGGGAGGTAATCCAATTCAAATTAAAGAACACTGTTTGATTACCTCCCTTACACTGCTTGTAAATTATGTATTAAGAAATGATGATTGTCTTGAGGTGATTAGCTGTCAATTTATTTTTAGCAGTTACTATTAATTAATATTAATTTTAGCCATGACTATGTATGTCATTTTATATTTTAAAACTTTTATGATGTATTTAAATGGGTAATTTTGGTTGCAAACTGCATTAGAAATTTGAATTGAGATACTGACCATATCTTGATGGAATGACTTTTTTTGGGGAATAAGGGAATAAGGGAAAGGGGGGGAGGTGAAAAAAATTGGAGGGGGGGGACAATTTTTCTCATTTCAGATTTCAGAAATTAAAAGAAAATTACTTCAAATATTTTTTTTTGGGGGTCAATATTCAACAGCATAGTGTATTGCACAAAAGCAAAAAATCGGGGTAAATTTTTTTTGGTAGGGGGGGGGGGGGGGGTGGTCAATTCGCAACAGCATAGTGTATTGCACAAAAGCAATAAATTGAATATAAATTCAAATCATATAACCAATTTGAAGTTCTTTGACTACAGTTATTCTGTGTCAGAAACCTATTATGTGTCAAAAATTTAGTTACAATCCAAATTCAGACCTGTATCAAGCGTGAATATTGTGTCCATTTTGGCCCAACTATTCAGGGTTGGACATCTGCGGTCGTATCCAGCTACGCTCAGCGAAGCAATTTATAAGTTTCTGTTCTCTACTTAAGTTAGCCTCAACCAAATGTTATGAGACTTACACACAATGCTTATTACCACAAAACTCAGATCAAGTTCAAATTTGGGTAGCGTCACTTTTACCATTCTTCAGTTATGTCCCTTTATAATTTTATTATAAAATCATCATGCACCTAAATTAATGATTTTTGTATCTCTGTCAAACAACTTAGACTGTACAATACATAAATGGACTATTTAGCTACAGTTATGTAGTTAAAAAAGAAAATGTCAAAACTTTCATATAGGTTTTTTTCTTGAATAAATCTTATGTGATAGTTGTCTCATTGGCAATCATACCACAATCTCCTTATTTTTATATGGGTTGTTTTGTGATGCAGTTTTGTTATAATCAGGGAATGATTTATTTTTCAGACGACAGTTTGTTTGCTATGTTGTATTCTCAGTCATACTGATGTTAATGTTTGGAGCTGCTCTGTATCTTCTGTCAGGAAATCTCAGTGAAGATGATGACTACAAGAGACACGATTTCCCTCCATCAAAGTCAAAACTGGGAAAATACAAACAGGCAGCCATAGCTTCTGATAATGAAGTCTGTTCACAAGTTGGAAAGTAAGAATATATAAGATTCATAAGTATTAAAATGGATCTAAATAAATAAAAAATGAAAAAATAATCATAGTTTGTGGACTAAGGGCCATTTAGAATTTGATATGATATAGACACTTTTCTATTATTGGAGACTGTTGACCTTTAGATGATATTTTGTATTTAATATTTCTTCTTCAAAGAAATGAGGTAAATTGATGTTTGTTATTTTTACTTAATGACACTGCTTTATTTGCATTTACCAGTACTAGTTTGTATGTTTTCTTATTATTTTTTACATTAATTTTCAAGTCCCATCTTTAAAAAAATGTAACTGATGCTTAAACTTATAGATGTACCACTATCAGTGATTAATGTAGAAAGATGTCCAAAATATAGTCAAATAAAATTTTGAATGTGAAACTACCATTAGTTAATACTACATGTATTTTAAAAAAAACTTTTTATAATGTAAGTTTCTAAAAATACTGTTTACTTGTTATCAACTTGTTTTCACAATTGCTATTACATTTTTTACCAGGAATTTATTTGTCTTTTAGAAAAATACTGGAGGAAAAAAGGGGATCAAGCATAGATGCTGCCATAGCCGTTCTTATATGTTATGGTGTAACAGATCCACATAGCTCTGGGATAGGTGGTGGATTCTTTATGACAATTTATGACAGGTAAATATATGTTATGGTGTAACAGATCCACATAGCTCTGGGATAGGTGGTGGATTCTTTATGTATGTTATAGTGTATTAAACAGAAAAAATTTAAGTTAACATATCCTTTTCCTGTCTCTATAAAATACAAATTACAATTGATGACAATAAATGTATATTATTTTTGCTGTACATCCTCATTTTTGCCACATTTAACTTCAGTTTTGTGTAATTTGTTATAGATAATTTTTATACGACCGCAAAAATTTTGTATATTGGTATGACGTTGGCGTCCGTAGACACATTGGTTTTCGCACAATAACTTTAGTTTAAGTGAATGGATCTCTATGAAATTTTACCATAAGGTTCAATACCACAAAAGGAAGGTTGGGATTGATTTTGGGGGTTATGGTACCAACAGTTAAGGAATTATGGGCCCAAAAGGGGCCAAAAATAAGCATTTTTGTAACTTCCAGACAATAACATGTGTTTAAGTGTATGGATCTCTCTGAAATTATACCACACATTTCCATACCACAAAGGGATGGTTAGGATTGGCTTTTGGGGGGTTATGGCTCAAACCGTCAAGGAATTAGGGGCAAAAAAGGGGGAAAAACAAGGGTTTCCTGGTTAATGGACAATTTAAAAGCAGTGTAAGGGAGGTAATCAAAAAAAAAATTGTACAATGTTGGATTACCTCCCTTACACTGCTTTTAAATTATCTATTTTAGACTTTTATGATGTATTTATTTGGGGGGGGGGGGGCAATTTTTTCTCATTTCATATTTCAGAAATTAAATAAAAATTTCTTCACATATTTTTATGCCCCCACCGTAGCGAAGGGGGCATTAAGTTTTACCCTTGTCCGTCCCTCCCAAAATTGGTTTCCGTTCTCTAACTTTAGTTTGCCTAAACCAAATGTTATGAAACTTATACACAATGCTTATTACCACAAAACACAGATCAAGTTTGAATTTTGGTGGCGTCACTTTTACCGTTACATAGTTATGCCTCTTTAAAATTAGAAATATTTGCTGAATTTTTCGTTTCCATTCTCTTACTTAAGTTTGCCTCAACTAAATGCTATGAAACGTATACACAATGCTTATGACCACAAAACTCAGATCAAGTGCAAATTTGGGTAGCGTCACTTTAACAGTTCTTGAGTGATGTCCTTTTATAACAATATATGCAAGAGGGGGCATCATCTGTGTCCCATGGACACATTCCCCATTTATGGTGGGGGGATTTTTTTTTTTGGGGGGGGGGGGGGTCAATACAATGCCAAAAAAAATGGGTTAATTTTTATTTATTTATTTATTTGGGGGGGGGGGGGGGTCAATTCGCACAGGCACAGTGTATTGCACAAAAGCAAAAAATTGGATATTAATTCAAATCATATAACCATTTCTAAGTTCTTTGACTACAGTTATTCTGTGTCAGAAACCTATTATGTGTCAAATATTTAATTACAATCCAAATTCAGACCTGTATCAAGCACGAATATTGTGTCCATTTTTGCCCCAACTGTTCATGGTTGGACCTCTGTGGTCGTATCCAGCTGCGCCCGGCTAAGCAATTTATTAAATAATGTGGTCACTAATGGTCTGTATGTTTGTAATAATAAAAAAGAGTGTGTTCAACATACAAAATCAGCATTCCATACTTCAGCATGTGGCCTTCTTCTAAGGAAGATCGTTAAATTTGATATTAATCCTCATAGAATAATAACATGGCTATTCCTTCAACTTTGAAACTCTCTCTAATTTTAAACTGTTTGAAAAATAAATTGTGATTGATAAGACTGATAATAGAAAAACAAAGGATATGGGGTATCCATCCATGACACAAAATCAGTAAATGCACAACAAAAAAACATACAAAAAGCGAAGGAACAGCACTTTTATTACTGTCTCCAACTCAAAGTCACAGTGAGACCTCAACACGGAGCAAAAAAACTCTCACCTCACTGCAAGTTTAAGACAGCCCCTTGCACCGGCTTAAGCGGAATTCTTATTGCTGTATTCAAAGCTGAAGATATTATGAGCAGCTTTTCAATCCTCAGTGACCTCCCTTTATTCCCTTTATTCTGTGACAATTAAGTCATTTATCAATGGTATTATAATAAGTGCTTTTTTCTAATTAATGATTGAAAAAATGTCATGTTTCCAGATGCTTGACACACCATTTTATTTTACCGATAGTAAAAATTGTTAATGCTGATTGTACAATTAAATTTTTCATACTTATAAAAGGTTTTAGACCAAATAAAGAATATCATGGAAGAATAATGAATGAAAAAATGGACCAATTGTTCTATGCCCTTTTAGGAAACACAACACAATTTTTTTGGGCATATTGTTTATCATAATATTCAAATTTTAATCCTTATTTTGAAAATCTTAAGCCATACTAATTTTGACAGATGAAACTTTGAATAAATCACTGTTGCATCTTTATTTCAGTAAAAAGAAGACTTCAGTTGTACTGGATGCTAGAGAGACAGCTCCTCTTAATGCAAAAGAGGACATGTATGAGAAAGATCCTGAACAATCAGTTTTAGGTACTGGTACACATTGTATACATGTAAAATTGTTTTCATGACTTAGTGTTTGGAACATTTCAGGTTGAAGCAGCTATTTGAAAATTCCTGATTGTGCTTCCTATTGAAACCAAATGTGTGTATCAATACATGAAATTATAACCATTTTATTACAGCTTACATCAGCGATGTGTTCTTTCTATGTGACTTCATTGGATCGGGCATGGGTGCCTTTTTCATGACATCACAATTGGAAATTCAGAAAAAAAATATTTGATGTCATAATTGAATTAAGACCATTGTGAACTGAGATAAAAATTTATTAAACGTTAATATGATTCCGGGTAATCAACCGGACTGCCAAAGTATGAATCGGCTTATAATCAGAGAAATTACCTTAACAGAATAATTAACCAGTGAATATTAAGATTAAACTATTACATTGTTACTGATATGTACATAATGATAAAATTAAAATATTTTAATGTCACTAATATGTATTTTATAGGTGGACTGGCAATAGCTGTACCAGGCGAGGTCAGAGGTTATCAGAAATTATGTGAGATGTACAAATGTCTGCCATGGAAGGATTTAGTACAGCCGAGCATTGACCTAGCTAAGAATGGCTTCAAAATAACTGCTAATACGGGAAGAGCTATAGAGAGTTCAAAGGATAAAATCAATGCCAACCCAGCATTTAAGTAGGTCCATAAATATTGAATGGGAATAACAATTTTACCTCTATATGTGTGTACATCTAGATTTTGATCAATAACTTTCCACTTAGGGGAAAGTATTGAATTCCTGATAGATAAATTAAGTAATAATTGTTTGTTGTAACAATATTTGATTACACAAACATTATTTGTATATCATTAGTGATGTCTATATTATATGGACCTTAATATTAAATGTGATTAAAGTATAAAATATAAGATAGGGTGGGTGGCCCAAATAAGAGAGAATTTTCATTTTCCTATATATAGCAAAAGTATCTTTGATATGTCTCTATGAATTTCTGAGACAAAGATCTACATGCAAACCTTAACCACCATATAAAAATAAGGAGATGTGGTATGATTTCCAGTGAGACTACTATCTGACAGAGTTCAAATGTTGAAGATAAAAGCAATTACATGTTTAGGTCTTCTTTGTTTCACCAAAGAAACTTGAAGTGGTGATAGATTTCCAATGTATCAAAATCTTATACTCGATATTTAACAAGGTATTGTTGTGTTTAAGGGGAAATAATTGAAACATTGAATAAGTACCCAAGAAAATTCAAAAGCTTTAAAAAATTTGACAATTTCATAAACTTCATTCCCAAGGAAATCTGTGTTTAATAGATTGGATTAGACAGTTTATATTAAATTCAAATTATATTTACAGGAAAGCATACACCAATCCAGCAACAAATGAGTTATACAAGGTAGGAGAGTTTGCTAGATTTCCATTACTGGCTAATACACTGAGGACTATAGCAGAGGAAGGACCACAGACCTTTTACAATGGAAATTTAAGTAAAAACATACTGGAGGACTTGAAAGAAGCAGGTTTGGACACACTTTTAGTTTTTGAAGCTTTCTATACACTGCAATACTCGTGACAACTCTTCTTATATTCTGGTTCTATTCAGCTCCAGCATAAACACAATTCACACATTCAAAGTGTAGAACAAAAATAAAAACCTTCACAGAGTTTTTGTGGATTGAGAATTGTATAGATATGGGTTAAATAACAACTTCCTCATGAGAATTTTAGGAGGAAGAGATTAAGTTGTTATTCTGTTGCCGAGTCAGCACCAGCTCATCAAATCATATCACACGAATATTGAAATGATAACATGTTAATATCATAGGACTAAACCCTGTATTAAACTGACACAATTAGTCAGATTTTCGACATACTACAGTACGGGTAGAGACTTATTATTATGGATGTCTTAATCCGTCTAGATGTCAGACTGGTCGGACTGTTGTCTCAGTGTAATTAACACCTGCTGTGATATTAATATTAACCTGTACAGTATCTGAGTGGAAGGTCGTAAATCAATCTGTACCAGCTAGATTAGAATTAAATTTTACCTGTACAGATATTTTAGTATTTATGGAGGATAGATAATAAATATAAAATATTGTTTTGTATTCAAAGAAAAAATTACAATAAAAATAAAAATTTAATATCATGAATATGGGATCAACTTTTTTTTAACTTGAAAATGATAGAAAGACGATTTTTAACAATGTACTGTAAAAATGTGTTGCCAATTATAATAATTGTGTTTGTGCCAATAAACTATTTGTATTTGTATTTGTAAACCGTAAATATTTCATTTTATTCAAAATTATAACAACCAGGACTGTTTTCAATAGAAGTTTTAATCAAAATGTTGAGACATCAATCCCGTAAATTATACAAGTTTTCGTTGATGGTTACAATATTTCCCCCTTTTAACGTCCTGTTCCTTTATGTTATTAATAGAAACACAATTTTAAGTATAAGGCCAACATATCGTATTTATAAAGTATATAAACAAATTGAATATAGGCATTGTGAATAAACTGTTATTTTCCTTTCGATACCACGTTCCCCGTCGGAGCCTCTACGTCTATTCATACCTAACCTGTCAATCATTTCTCGCAAGTAAAACAATTTGGTCATATGAAAATCACGTGCATTTGACAAAATTAATCCCAGCTATTTTTAGCATTCAACATTGTATTGTGAGTGAAGTCAAGTTCAAAGTTCAACCACATGCTGTTGATCACTGATATGTGTATCATGGAATTGTCTTTTCACGGCAAATATTTTTTTTAGATTGGTGTCAAAAATACAACATACAAGTTAACATGCATTGTGCGTAAATCAATATTATGCAATTAAGAGTCAATGCAGCACCATAAAATTATTTAAATGGGAGCAATTGCATTTCTTTAGACTACAAATCATAGTAAATATTTAATTAACTGGTCATCAAACGATTGAATGCTTCTTGTTTTAATGTCCATTCATGTCAGTGGCAATTATTTCATGCATATTTAACAAACACAGAAATATCAAAATAAACCTAATTCCCGAGAAGTATCGTTATCTTCTTCTAGTGTTATTAAAACAAAGTTGTCTCCAGTACTTCACCTTTAAAAATATTTTATGTCAAATACGATGTAGAACTAATCAATAAAGTGACTGAGAGGTTTAAATCACAGGTAACCTGATTCTGAAATCAGTGAAGTGTAATAATCTAGTAGCACGGATTGAGATGAAAGGACAATTATATTACCGTTCACACCTGGATCTGTTGATTAATGACCATACTACCTACCATAAAAAAGTCGGATTATTCATTTCCGACATGTCCCAGTCCGTTATTTATAGTAATAAGTCTCTACCTGTACTGTAGATCACTTATCAGCAGTCTGCAGGAGATAAGTAACCATACCTGATCATATCATTCTGACTCCAAACTGACAATTCTTACTTTCATATATCCTGAACTTTAAAAAAAAGAAGCAAATATCAGTCTTAAAAATTGTAATTTTATCCAGGCATTGATGGAACCTATGACCTCCGCACTTTATGTGAGCATACTAGAACAAGACCGCTGATATCCACTCCAAATTAATAACAAAATACAGTCATTCAAATTTTTATTATTCAAATCGAGCAATACATGTCTTTTTGAGATTGTAAACTTATAAGATTGCTTTTTTTGTACAGATTCCATTATACAAGAGAGAGATTTACAGAGTTATACTGTACTTCAAAAAGAGGCTGTAAAATCTGTTTTGAATGATGGTTCTACACTGTATTCAGCACCAGCGCCATCTGGTGGTCCTGTCTGGTTGTTTATCATGAATATAATGGATGGTAAACAATATCAGTTTTTCTCAGTCTTTCAACATATCATCATCCAAAATATCATAATGAATATTATTATTTCAATACAGTATTTTCATTCAACAGTACAATACACTTCTTGAACAATTTGATTACAATAAGGTTCCCTTTTTTCTTAACGTGACTTTTGATCATATTGATAAAAGAAGATGTGGTGTATATGTCAATGAGATGGCTAACCAAACCCACAAAAAAACCCAAACTTTTACATTTAAGTCTAGTTGTTAGAAATCTGATCAAAACCTGCAATTTATGCATTGAAGAATGATATGAAGGTCTACATTTAGATCTTACTGATAGCTTGCTGCATTAAATGAATGAGAATAAAGTTGATAGGAAATGCCAAATATACCGAATAAAAAAGTTATGCAACAAATATTTTTCATTTTATATTTAAAAAATTAACTATACTTATAAACATCTCAATAAATGAATTATTGCAAGTTGCAACAAAGAAAATATACCATAAGGTGCAATTTTTACTTAAATATAATCAATGTTAGAAATGCATTTCCGCAACTCTAGATTTTTTTTATTTAAATATATGGTGCTGAACTTTTTTTACTCAAGTATATGCTAGAACCTTTAGCAAACCACACTAACAACCAGTGACCAACTTGTCCAAGATATTGCTGTATATTTCTACAGAGTAAATATTTATTGACAGGATATAACATAACTCCGGAATCTGTTTTACCTGAGAAGTCAGAACTACTAACATATCACAGACTTGTGGAAGCCTTTAAGTTTGCTTATGCTAAACGAACAGACCTTGGTGATCCAGATTTTGTCCCTAATGTTACAGCAGTAAGTTGTCTATCTTTAAGAAAAAAAATGAAGAGAACATATCAGGTGTGATGCATTTGCAAGCACTAATTCAGGATATGAGGTTAGTTGGGTTATACGCCTAACAGTTTGGCTGAGTAGAGAAAGCTATTGTCCACTTTAGTGACTTATTGTTTTCTTCTAATCTTGAACATGCCATTAATATTGGCTATTTATTTTCTACAAGAAAAACCTAAGAAATTCATACAAAAAGTAAGATAATACCAAGGAAGTTGTAATAGTCACATATAGACAAAGAAAAGATTTTTAAAAGAGTTATGCCCCTTGAAAAGATTGATTACATAAGGCATTGTAATGCATTTGCTCTCAAGCCTTCATTTCTTTAAGATATTTATACAAAAATTTAAAAAAACTTTTTTTTTTTAGTTTAACTTTATGCCCTTGGACAGATAAAATATGTGCAAAGCTTGGGACATTGGAACTCTCTTCTTTTATTCAGTTATTTTTTTACTATTTGAGTATTTGTTTCCTATCCTACTATAATGTGGGGGAAAATAACTTGAGAAACTACTAAAATGACATATGAAACAGAATGAGAAGTTAATGATCAGATTTGAGTTTCACTGTGGATATGTGACTATCATGGCTAATAGACATGAAAAGGTCTTGCAATTGAGTATTCTCTTATTTGATTTTAACAATCCTTGTATATAGTGAGCTTAGATTTCATTTTGACTTGATTTGTGATTCCTATTTAACACAATTGTGAGTTTAGATTTAATTGACCTACTCTTCACCTAATTGCAGCTCCATAAATATGGGTTTTCTCCTCCATTGTCAACTCTCTGCAGATATTTGGTGTATAACTGTATAATGAGTAGTCAATAATCATGATTGAGTTCATTTATAATCCAAAACTTTTTGGTCTAGGTGTGGCCATTGAACTTATAAATTTCAGATTTAAATACCTCTCAGACCAGACCCCTACCCATTTTTTTTTTCTTAAATGAGTTTGATGAGTAGTATAGAGCATGTATGAAATAACTATAAAAATCCTTTCCTTTGAAACACTGTAATATATAAAGTCATACATGATTTGAAAGATTCCTATGTAAACTAGGTTATGCATTGTTAACTTCTATGTCCATGGTCTCTGGTGGAAAGTTGTCCCATTGGCAATCATAGCACATCTTATTTTTTTAGATATATACCAAATTTACTCTTGATAGAAAGTCTAGAGAGCAATTCTTTGGCTCCTTGTCACCTCAAGTATTGTCGTTTTGTTTGCCTCAATCTTGTTATTTCATTAAACAGGTTTGTTTCATAAGTCAGGTTACTAAAAATATTTTCTTCTTAATTATATGTATATTTTTTTTGAGACAAAAAAATGCATATACATCATAAATTAATTACATGTAAATAGTATATACCATTTTTCAGGTTGTTAAAAATTTAACATCACGTTCCTATGCTGATGGTATTAGACATAAAATCTGGGATAACCAAACACATGATTATATGTATTATGGACCAACATTTTATGACAAGTTAAAGACAAGCACAGCACATTTATCTATGGTAGGGAATGATGGTTTGGCAATAGCTGTTACCACGACAGTAAATACAGTGTAAGTCTCTTACTATCGGATTAAAATCTTCATTTTTAGTCCCCTACCGACGAAGTCGAAGGGGACTTTAGGTTTTTTAGGTTTGCACTCTGTCCATCTGTCCATCCATCAGTCCGGCAAATCAGCTTTCCACACTTTTTTTCTTCGTTCTTGTTAATATAACAAAGTAATGTTATAGATCATATTAAGTTAAAATTACTGTTGCAACTACAGTTTAAATTAAACTGTTGATAAAAATGAGTGTCATGTTATTTGCAAAATAAAAGTAATAGAGAAAGAGACATAAAGTACATTTTGTTGTTTGTTTTATTGCTTCATTGCTGACTCATTGATCTATACTCAACATTGCCTTTTTATTTGTAATTCCAAATGAACATTTGACAGAGAAAGAAGAGTTAAAATTGGTTTTAAATCAAAATACTACTAATCTACTAATTTTTCATAGAAATAGTTGTGATATAACTACCGTAGTTATACAAAATAACTTTTTTGTCAGAGCTTTAATTGATATGTAACAGTTTTTAGAATAAATAACTTGGCCACAACCACTGATATAGAAATTACTGTGTGAAGGGATTTAATATAAACATTGGCATCTTTTGGCTACAGAATATTTGGGATCGCAAATTGTGCTTTTATGACGATATCTTCAAAATGTGCTGACATTTGGAGCTTATTATGTACTTTTATAAAGAGATTTGTTTTACCTATTAGCATTAAGGCATTGGAATGGATCCATTAAAGAATCTAATGTGGCCTTTTTATAATTAATATCTGTTGATATAGGTTGATAATCAAGGTTGATACTAAACCCCTAACAGGAGGGATTGTACCTGATTTTCATATGATGAAGACATAATCTTTCAATCAGTTTAATTGAGGTCTGGAGCTGGCATGTCAGTAACTGCTAGTAGTCCTTTGTTAATTTATGTATCATTGTCATTTTGCTTAGTTTCTTTTGTTACCTATTCTGACATCGGACTCAGACTTCTTTTAAACTGAGTTTTACTGTGCGTATTGCTATGTGTTTCTTTATTCTACATTGGCTAGAGTTATAGGGGGAGGGTTGAGATCTCACAAAACATGTTTAACCCCGCCACATTTTTGCGCCTGTCCCAAGTCAGGAGCCTTTGGCCTTTGTTAGTCTTGTATGTTTTTTTTTTAATTTTAGTTCATTTATATGTTTTGGAGTTTTGTGTGACGTCCATTTTCACTGAACCAGTACACAATTTTATTTAGGGGCCAGCTGACGACCACCTCAATCAAGGACTGGTATTGTATTTTTCCCTGTACTATTTCAGATTTGCATCAGGTATACTAGGATCAAGAACTGGTATTGTGTTTAACAATGAAATGGATGACTTCTCCTCACCTAACATTACTAATGACTTTGGTATCAGACCATCACCTGCTAATTTCATCAGACCTGGGAAGCGACCACTATCATCCATGTCACCATCGGTTGTTGCTGGTAAAGATGGTGATATTAAACTTGTCATAGGAGCAGCTGGTGGATCTCATATAACTACTTCTGTTTCTTATGTAAGATATTATCTCATAAAATTGCATATGTTTCTGACATAAGATACATCTGTTTTCTGTGTAAGTTAACATCTCAAGTGTATACAGCAATTTTTCTTTTATGTGGTACTTATTGATTGTTGATGGTACATTGTACCGTATAGCGGATTATTTTCGTGGAGTGTTTTTTTTCACTTATTTTGGAGCGTAAAGGAAAATCGCGAAAAATAAATTCCACGAAAATTTATGCATACGTTCGGTACTTTCTAATAACTAAAGTGTTTTGTAAACCATCTATTTTTTTCCAGGTTGAAGGGTCAATAATAGTTTATGATAATTTGAACAACATAAATGCCAAAGGGTATTATTCACATATATTTTATAAAAATTATAAAATGGCTGTCGGGTGTTAATTAGTTTATTGGTGTCAAATGATATAAGAGTGTAAGGTACTCTGACAGGTATTTTACCCTTATTAATAAGTGTCAAATATATAATTGTTACAAGTCACTCTTGATAATTTTATAATCTAATTAGTACATCAAAGGTCCAATCAATTTCGTAACAAAACAACCGTAACATTAACAAGAAGTTTGTATGCCTGTGAAAAATATCTAAGTACCGGTATTCTATTGATTAACTATGTCAAAATGTAATCAATAAATAAGACTTCATGCAGGTTAAACAATCATTTAACCATAACAATAGACACTTGTTTGTCAAATTTTACAAATTTTTAAATGCAACCATTTCAGTATCCGCCAAAATATTTAATTGAAATTGAGGAATCCACCAAAATAAAAACCACCAAAATTTTTCGTATACTTTGTTGCCCCTAAATTGCGAAATTTTACACCCGCAGAAAAAACCCGATGTACGGTATTTCAAACAAGAGGGCGTTTCACAGCTAAAATCTCATCAAATGGTGACAGCCCTGAGGTGAGATGTAACTGAGAAACCTCTTCCAATTTGATGGATGGAAGACTATTTAATTTCCAGCGGCAAATTAAATACATATTCAGGACGAAAGCATGGTAATGTACTATGAATATTAACCCTGCTTTGTACTAGATCGACATGCTGAGCAGGATTTTTAACATGCTTGTTCACAAGGTAACAGTCTGCAGGAAGACATGTCATCATACCTGGACACATTATTTTGACTTCGAGCCAACCAGTCTTTGCTCTTACTTCTTAATGCTGCGTGCTTAGAGGAGAAGCAGCAAATACCATGTTGTTAGTTTTCTAGAAAATAGGTTCATTATCACTGAACTAGTATATATATTTGTTTAGGGGCCAGCTGAAGGACGCCTCCGGGTGCGGGAATTTCTCGCTGCATTGAAGACCTGTTGGTGACCTTCTGCTGTTGTCTGTTCTATGGTCGGGTTGTTGTCTCTTTGACACATTCCCCATTTCCATTCTCAATTTTATTTAGACAGACATTTATTGAAACTTTTTGAAATCATTTCATCCATTTCAAGTGTTGACATAAGATTTTCATGGCTACAAAGCTAAACCTTTCAGATTGACATGAATGTGGAAAAAAATCTTTCAGCCACTTTTAGCTTCAATATGCATATATTTTTTTCAGATTACCATGAGGGTGTTATGGTTTAAAGAAACAATAAAACAGGCGATAGATGCAGCCAGAATTCATCATCAGCTATTGCCTCCTTATATTTACTATGAATCAGAATTTCCGAAGGTAAATGCTTACATTTTATCTTTCAAATCCATACTGAATCAGTGGTGTTGTTGAGATGAAGGACTTCTTTCATGTGCAGAACATTGATATTAGTAATTAGGGCCACAATCCTAATAATTACAATTGTCCGAGTGAGTCGAAAAAAAATTGATGCGTTTTATGCTAAGAAAAGTATGTTTTTCCTATTTAGTTTTCCTTGCTTAATCCTCTGTCTTTTGTATTATACAATTACTTAAAAAAAAGACAAAATTAAAAAAAAAGATGTGCTGCACAAGTCAATAGAGACAGTAACCTAATAACACATGTGATATCAAGAGGTCAACAAATTTACTAGATATATACAAGTTACATGCATGTACTAATATCTTACTGTATTTTTTAGGATTTAACAATTTTGTGGTCACAAGATTTCATAAATGAATGTTGTATTTTTTTACAGCATTTTGTAGAAGGTTTAAGAAATTTAGGACACAACATTACAGACAAACCAGCCTTCAGAACAGATGCTAATGGAGTCACCACTAAAAATGGATTATTGTATGCTAACTGTGATTTCAGGAGAGGTGGTGTGCCAGATGGATTCTAAAGAGAATTATTAGGGGAAATTAAGATGTAAACACAAATATACAAATAAGAAGGAGAGAGAGAGAGAGAGTAAGAGAATAAAATGTTAAAAGGGAGAGATAACAAGATGTTAAAAAATAGAAAGAAAGAGAGAGACACTTGAACGCATAATAATGACTTCCAATGAATAATTGAGATTTATGAATAATTGAGACTTCCAATGTTTAATTGAGACTTCCAATGTTTAATTGAGACTTCCAATGAATGATTGAGACTTCTGATAAATAATTGACACTTCCAATCATGGGGGTCTCAACCTACAAATTTGAGTACAGACATCTGGAAGGGGTTTGAAAAACAAACCCCCCCCCCATTCATATATTGATTTATGCAAAATCCCTACCCATTCATATATTTCAGAAGAAAATCACAACCCATTTATATATATTTCCCAGCTATCATTACATCTTCTTTCAATAACCACATGGGATCCGTGATTCATTTTATGAGATAAAAACATCAGAACACAGTTTTTTACAGACATCTTAACAGAAAATGAACATGTATGACCCACTGACATATAAATTTCTACACATTGATATATTACCTCTGTGAAATTGTACCCCATTGATATAATTGACATTCCAAAAAAGATACCCATACCAGCAGCACGTCTGTGTATACCTTTATATTGGAAGAGACCCCTCCCCCGTGCTTTCAATGAATAATTGAGACTTCCAATGAATAATTGAGAATTCCAATGAATAATTGAGACTTCTTATGAATAATTGAGACTTCAAATGTATAATTGAAAATTCTAATGAATAATTGAGACTTCCAATGAATAATTGAGCTGTCAATTGAATAATCGAGCCTTTCAGAAAAGGAAAATATGACTGTATTTTATTTGTTGATTTGAGACTTACCCAACCTTTTACTTTGGGAAATATTGTTAGTATTGTTAATAATTTTAGTGTCCTATAAATCTCTGGCATAAAATGATTTCTTTAATCTGTGATATGTTCCTCAATTATTTGATTAGAAAATTAAAAATTTGATACAAAATTTATCAATAGGGTTTTAACTTTAATGCTCAGACATTGATGGAATCATTCTACAAAGTAATTTTCTGACTTTTTACTACATAATTGTTATTGTTCTACCTACAGTCCCATGTATCAAAATTTCAGGTACATTTAAATTTTGTGTTGATATGAACTGTATAATAAAATGTAAATGATGATCTTGTGAACTGTATAAATATTATGTAAATACATGTAGAGGACTGAAAGTTCTCATTAAATATCTAGACAACTATAAATTTTATCGTGGGTAGATTATCTTTACAAAGATTTGAAAGTTATGAAAGTTATAACAAAGATTGTATATATTGTATAATCCTATTAAGTGATTTAGACTTTATTAGACCCTTGAGATACCCGTTTTTCAAAGTATGTTATAGGCGATCGTTCTAGTATTCAAATTTTAATAATTGATACAAATTTTCTAGTTTATTTATCTTTTCTGATATATGAAGTTGTAATACAATACACATATAAAACATTTGACTATTTTTAAAATGAACAAACATAAGTATTTGATTAATTAGAATTTAGTAAGCTAAAACACCTATTTTATAACATTCCTTCACTTTTTTTATTCCTGTTTACAATATATTAAACAATTGTCTTTCATTGTTATGTATTTTTATTGTGGTTTGGCTTGATATTATATTTGAAATTATTTTAGCATTTTCACAAATGTTTTGTCTATAACCTTAGAAGATTTTTTATAAAATTTTGCTCAAATTATGATATTTTCATGGAAAATTTATATAATGAAATAATATATCCCTTAACATGCATGTACAAATCCTGTCTGTTGATGACTGAGGTGTCAATTTGGTTTATTCCCACACTTCTTTGGTGATAAATGTATTATAAATGCATATTTCCTTTGATATAGGGGTGGTAGTTTGATAAGAAAATCTACTTTTATCAGGACAGTAAACATCTAAAAAAAGACAGGTAGTATTGATTATAACATGTGAAATATTGACCATTTGCAGTGATGGATTCAGGGGTCATAGAGAGTGTAGTACTTTGAGGCCCTTTCCTCAAACACTTATCCACCCCTGATTTGAATTCCAGATTTACCTTGTTTAAAAAATCATGAAAACTTTCCATTGTTTCTATTTTAACCAGAAAATAATCGCTGAAAATTGTGACAAATTAGAACTCATCTTTTTTAATTGTGATAAGATTTTAATGCATCATTTATGAAATCACATTTTTGTCTATTGATCGGTAAATCTGAATAATAATTGTTTAATTATTTCTGACTTTATATATTATTTACTGATCATTACATGAAATGTAAACGGTTCTGGGAATATGATGGTAACATGCATTGTATATTTAAAATAAATCATTCCAACTTTACCAATATTCCATTTTAGCATTTATAAGTTTAGCATTTATAAGTTTATGATTTTGAAGAGTTATTATTGTGGTTTGTATGATATTTTTATGTTTTTTATTGAATAGTGTATTTTTTGAACTGCAGAAAATGAAAATTTTTATATCTTTGTATCTACTTTATAACTGTTGTTGCTTATATTTGATTTACATTGACTTATCTTTGTAAACATAAGGGGAACATTACTTATTTATTTGGCCACATTTTTTTTTAAATACATCTATTTTCCTTAATCATCAATTCAGGTGGATTGTGATACAAAATATGTTATATTTGCGGGTTGGTGACATGTCTGCTTTTGAACTAGAACATTAAAATATATTTCAGCTTATTGGTTTATTATAAAGAAGGGTTTTTATTCAAATCATATTTACATGTTTCTGTCAAGATATGCAAGTTATAGTTGCCACTGGACATTAAACACCAATCCATCCTTCCATCTATCTATCAAACATTCAAAGTTGTAGAGGTGAGCAAATAAATATTTACAGTTTAATATTTTTTCATTTGAAGTAAATATAAAAATAGGATGTAGTATCCACCAAATGATGTAGATAAAAGTAACTATGAGTTACTGTGCAGCCTTCAATACTGAACCTTCAATGGAGTTATGGATGTAAGACTTTGGCATGCTGTTTACAGCGATGGTGGAGATAACAGTGTTTGAGGTGTCAACAAGTTATTTAAGTTTGTGATAAGGTCTGTTTAAGAGAAACCACTATTGGTAGGTCCTAATAATATTTGGTCTGATGAAGTTGTATTAGCACATGGTATAAAAAGTTTTACATAGTTTACATATTGAAGTGTTGTCATTTTGGTTTCAATTATTGCATTTCGCTACCAAAAATAACATACAGGAAAGACAAACATGTATCTCTGTGTCAACAGTTTTTTAAAATAGTAATTGATGTACCGGTAATTTAAATTGAATTTGATACCTAATAAGTTTGTTGACAGATGAATGTTTTATGCTGTAAATATTTACAGGTCATTCCATTTGTGTATTTTATATTTGTTGTCATTTTAAACTGCAATATTTTTATCATGGATCTAGATTATTTACCTTATTTATATTCTTTTTTTGTGTTAAATCATGAGATATATTTGTTTTGATATTGTATGATTTTGTCTATAAAGATGGTTTAATTTTACAGAAAAAGAGTTGAATAATAAATATTTTGGAAACTTATGCTGTCTTATTAATACTAGTAAAACATTAAAGTAATCTGGTAGTTTCTTTTTGAAATTAATATTTACAGACAGTTCTTTGGACGCAATATGCTAATATCAAATCTGGTGCTGATTCAGGATTTTGAAAAAGGGGGGCCCCCTAGTTAGCCAATGTTTGGACTGATGCTTGTAAAAAGTATATGCATTTATTGTATATGAAGCTCCATAAGGGGGGGGGGTGCCAGGCCCCCTGGGCCCCATAAATCCTCCTCTGCAAATGATTTCTAATGACGCTTATGGAACTATGTCATATAATCATGGAAAGATCATATTCAAAGAGCCTGAAGTCATCACCAGTTTTTTGGGGATTTGTATTGGTCAGTCTTTAGTTTCTATATAGTGTTTTGTGGACTATTGCTTGTGTATTTTACTTTTGGCCATGGTATTGTTTGTTCTTATTTGACTTATGGTTTTTTTATTGCCCCTTTGGTGCCTTCATACATTTTCCAGCTGTTTTTACATTTTATTGTCCAAGATACATCATACCTGTTAAATACATTAATGCAGAAATAAGGCTTCTGTCCATGATTTCATTCATCAATTGTTTTCTGCATTTCAAAAGGAAATCACAAAGGAATGACAAAAACATAATATGAACTGTCGAACTTCAGATTGAGGTAATTTTGGTAAATGTACATCAAAAAATCAAAAATAACTGCAATGATGAATTTAAAGGGTTGGATTGAGCTGTCCTTTATCAGATACAAAATTTCCTATTTGTTTGATGTTGAGTTATAATTTCAAGGATCTTTGATTAATTTTTGGGTCTTTATTCCCTTGATTGAAAAGCCAGTCTTCATCAATGGACAGCAACAACTATTGTCAATTCTGCTGTTTGAATGCAAGTAATTCATAAATTTATTAGCAGTTGTTTGGTATTGTGTTGATTTGTCAGCACCTACCAATAGATTCAGATTTCAGTTTGGTATTGTGTTGATTTGTCAGCTCCTACCAATAGATTCAGATTTCAGTTGTTTGGTATTGTGTTGATTTGTCAGCAACTACCAATAGATTCAGATTTCAGTTGTTTGGTATTGTGTTGATTTGTCAGCACCTACCAATAGATTCAGATTTCAGTTCATATATTTGATTTATTATTGCTAATCTTTGACAGCTAACATAAATACAATATAACTACAAGTACTTGAAATTCCTGTAACAGAACATGTTACAGTATAGTATTGCTAGAAAAAATGAAGTTGCAAAAGTCTCTTTTTGCAATATTCATTCTTTTTTATCCTTTTAATAGTAAAATCTTCTTATTTTACTTAACTTACAGTCCTCCATGTCCTTCTTTTTTGGTTGAAACTATGATGGAAAAACAAAGGATATGGGGTATCCATCCAGGACACAAAATTAGTACATGCACTGCAAAAAACACACATAAAGCAAAGGAATAGTGCTTTTATTGCTGTTCTTCATCTCAAAGTCACAGTAAGGCCTTCAACACAGAGCAAAAAAAAACACTCTCACCTCACTACAATTTTAAGACAGCCCCTACCACCGGCTTGAGCAGAATTCTTTTGCAAAAATAATTCAGATAGACTTTATATGATGTAACACCACCAAATTGGGCCCGGTCCAAAAGAACATAGTGGAATGTACCCGGTAGTATGTATTTATGAGTTAGCTTTAATGGTTGTCAAATGACATTAATGAATGTTTCCATGCAGATAAAATTTTTTGACAAATGGGATTTTGACAATCAAAATTCATGAAAGAAATTTTTTATGCCCCCGCCGTAGCGGTGGGGGCATTAAGTTTTACCCTTGTCCGTCTGTACGTACGTACGTACGTCCCAAAATTGGTTTCTGTTCTCTAACTTGAGTTTGCCTCAACCAAATGTTATGAAACTTATACACAATGCTTATTATCACAAAACACAGATGAAGTTTGAATTTTGGTGGCGTCACTTTGACCGTTCTAGAGTTATGCCCCTTTATAAATGGAAAAATTGCAAAAATTTTAGTTTCTGTTCTCTAACTTAAGTTTACCTCAACCAAATGTTATGAAACTTACACACAATGCTTATTACCACAAAACACAGATCAAGTTTGAATTTTGGTGGCATCACTTGAATCGTTCTAGAGTTATGCCCCTTTATAAATGGAAAAATTGCAAAATTTTTATTTTCTTCTAAATATCAAGTAATTTTTTATGATAATTCAACTGAGTTCATAATACTTAAAGTATGTCATACTACATTAAATGATACTGTGAGAATCACACAAATATTCAATCCTCATATATTCAAATTATCTCCCTTGTCACAATATTTTCATTAATTCAGGGTCATCTGTCTATTGGTTTGGATATGATATAGAACAAATATTAGTGCTGATTAACAGTTTTTTCTGCATATTTGTATTGTAAAATTTCAACTGTGAGAAAAAAATATGAGGCTTTTGTGGGGAGAGAGCAAAGCAAAGAGCTCCATATTGTGTTGAGAAGTGATATTTTCCAATATCTATAATTTATAAGGAAAATCTGATTCTCCATTTACTTAAAGTTTTTATAAGTGTGGTTTCATGATGGAAGGGATATTTTTGCTTTTACTTACAAGCCAACTTGAAGACAACTTGAACTTGAGGGTCAAAGTTTAATCAACATAGAGGAAAATACTATGACATCAGTGATCATTTTGGTTCAATGTTATATTAAGACCAGGTAAAACACATTTAATGTTACAAAGGTACAAAGAACTGACAAGGATGGAACTTTTCTTTTTCTTAGCAAAAAGATTAAAGGTGCAGTCAATCTCTAGATGTAAATGGGAGTAACCCAATCAGAAGGCAAGTCTAAGATTTTTGTTAAGAGGTCAAATAACAAACAAACAAAAACATTGCCTGGTATTATGAGCCAAATGAAAAAAATAACATTATCAGGTACAATTTGAAAAAAATAAATTATTATTACAAAATATGATATAATTGGAAGAAAATCATGTGTTCTATATATAAATTGATTTTTTTATTGAAAGTTCTAAATTCCACATTTGCATATGCTTGCTCAACCTACTTGAATCTTTGTCTGCAAATATTAAGGAAAAAAAAAATCACCTTGAAGATCAAATGAGGGATTCATCCCTTTGGAGAAGAAAAATCTCCCAATTTTTCAATAACTTCCCACTTCACAATAACAAAACAATAAGTAAAATTGAGAATTGAAACGGGGAATGTGTCAAAGAGACAACAACCCGACCAAAGAGCAGAAAACAGCCCAAGGCCACCAATGGGTCTTCACCAAACACAGCGAAAAAATCATGCCAATCTTTGGCTAGCCCCTAAACAAAAATGTGTTCTAGTTCAGCCAAAATGGACGTCACACTAAACTCCGAAACATATAAATGAACCAAAATTAAAAAAACATACAAGACTAACAAAGGCCAAAGGCTCCTGACTTGGGACAGGCGCAAAAATGTGTGTGTGTGTGTGTGTGTGTGTGTGTGGGGGGGGGGGGGGGGGGGGGGGGGGACATGTTTTGTGAGATCTCAACCCTCCCCCTATACCTCTATCCAATGTAGAATAAACAAACTCACAGCAATACGCACAGTAAAACTCAGTTTAAAAGAAGTCTCAGTCTGATGTCAGAATAGGTAACTGAAGAAACTAAGCAAAATGACAATGATACATAAATGAGGATTGTTTAGGGGGGGTATCGATATCCCATAAGTTTTTGTCCCAATATCCCATATCCCTATAATGTTTACCCCTAATATCCCAATAATTTATTTTGACAAATATCCCGTATCCCTAAAACTATTTTGAAATATCCCAAAAAATCATTAATTCATTTCCAAACCCATTTTTGTATACAACATTTGTAAATACATGTTGTGCGTTGTAGTATGGATGTCAAGGATGTGGACTTTTTTCACAGAGAAAAGTTAATCATTCAGAATTATCCAGAGACCTTTAAATTTTAATCTACATGTCTCTGGAATAACCAATATATAACTAAACGTTTGTAACAAATAAAAAGTTACTGTAGAGATAAGCAAGAGCCACCAAATGTGAGCTCATCAAAGGCACGTAGCTAAGAGAATCACCCAATGTGAACTCACAGATGACACGTCGTTTTAATAGAAATGCTAAGAAGCAAAAAATCCAATTCTACTAAAAAAAAAAAGAACTGAATGAATATAATATGCAGCAAAGAGCTGCACATGCAAAAAAGCATGTAGTTAATCTATTAAAACGCAAATTATCAAATCAGGAATATATCCTGTTGGCGAAAGGCTTGAAATTTATACCAACTCCATCAAGCAAAAATGCCAAAATGTCTATACTAAAAGACTTAAGTGAATTTGCTAGACAACTGCGATGTCGATATATGTTCAGTCATGAAGAAAAAAATGTGTAAGGGTTCCACGGAACCCAGTGTCTCGCCTACTTTTGCTGTTAATCGCAGGCTCAACAAAAATGAGGGAAAAAAATAATAAAAATATTCCTCTCGATACTATCTTTTGATTGTAAGAAGCTTCTGTCCAAGTTTGGTAAAAATCCAGGATAGTTTATGATTCTAATAAATGTTTTAAAAACTTTAACTGCAGACTGTATGTAATGTTAACTGGAAGAAAAACTAAGTCCATTTATAAGTAAAATAAAGAAAAACAGGTACAAAATTTTAACAAAATTTCCTTCTAGATACTACCTTTTGATCATAAACACGCTTCTGTCCAAGTTTGGTACAAATCCAGGATAGTTTAAGAAAGTTATTAAAAATTTAAAAAACTTTAACCACAAGAAAAAGAAAAAAAATGAATTTCAGCGTAAAAATATTAAATACAAACACAAATATTTATTTATTTATTAATGCAATGCACATTTATACCCCTAGGGGTTGGAGGCATATATAAACTATACAATATATACACAAACAATATATATGCAGAAATTATAACAAATTAAACATCATATATAAAGTAGTATATATAACAGTATTATTCATGCAGGTTTT